TTTTATAACTCAGGAACCATCCAGTTCGAGAAATCGGAAACAAGTGAAAGACCGAAGCTCCTAAATTTGTGATACTAATATTTTACTTTATATGGAGTATTGCAATAAGAGTTATAAGCGTTAAAACTCAGCTAATGTTTTTTCAAATACCGAAAAAATATATTTTTATTAGTAATTAATTATTATTGGTCCATCAATGCACAGGATCTATTCTGCGCCTAAATGCCACACTAAAACAATTCTAGCCTATTTATAAATTTCGTAATGGCTGTGGGCTTAATTTTACCTTTTTGATTTGGAACTAAAATCCCGCTCCCAAGGTAATCAAGTCTACGTCTAACCGCTGCTAGGCAGTTGCATAGAAAATGTTCCGATGTTTCATTCTTCTGTAAGTAATTCTCCGTAGAGATTAATATAATTTCTGCTAAGATTAAAGATAGCGTCAACTTTGATGTGTTCAGAATCAACAAATCTTTTTGACTGCCGTAGACTTTGCTTCTTCTATTCACATATTAAGTTATTTGTGAAGCTATTTGTCACTTTGCAGACCTAAGGTCCTGGGACATCCCCTTCTTTGCCAGGAATCTTTATAACATTGTTATTTCACAAAAGTAATTATACATTGTGACCGAAAAGTTTCCGGAAATAAATAAATAAAACGCAAAATTCTTAATCTTCATCAATATTTATTTTATCTCCTTCAAAATATGCTCCATTAGAAGCGATACACAAATGCAAACGTTTCTTCCAATCATCAAAACATTTTTTATAGGCGCTTTCCGGTATGGCTTTGAGTTCCCTCTGCGAATTCTGTTTTACGTCTTCTATGGATTCAAAACGCGTTCCTCTGAGTGGTAATTTGAGGTTGGGAAACAGGAAAAAGTCACACGGTGCAAGATCAGGTGAATACGGTGGCTGTTCGATGGTATTTATTGAATGTTTGGCCTTAAAATCGTTGATAATGTTGAACAAATTGAGGTGAATCGGAACAAGCCGGGCGTTGACACGTCGCATACACAAATTGTCCACCAAAATCAAACGAGCCATCTCACGACCGATGCCTAGCTCTCGTGCTATCTCTCTAACACTCACATGAGGATTTTTGAACACGATTTCCTTTGCCTTTTCAATGTTTTCGTCGGTGGTAGAGGTCGAAGGTCGTCCAGAACGCGGCATGTCTTCGACGGTCGTACGACAGTCCTGAAAGGCTTTGTACCACTCATAAACTTGAGTTTTCGATAAAACTGATTCCCCATAAGCCTTTTGTAGCATTCGCAACGATTCTGCACACGAAATTTCGTTCGAAAAACAAAATTTGATGCAAACTCTTTGTTCAATATTTTTTTCCATTGTTTTTTTCGCAACGCACTACTGAGGTGAACTGGTTTCAACAGCTGCCGTAAACGAACTGTCTGACAGATCGCGCTCATTTTTGGCATAGTAATTAAGGACAGTGCTGCCAAACTACATAAACTTAAAATATCGAAAAATATACAGCGCGCGAATTTTAAATGAGAATTTCCGAAAGCTTTTCGGTCACAATGTATATACAATGTGTTTGTTTATTTAAAATATCTTATCCATCCCTTTTCTCTGTTTAAACGAATCAATATTATTGTTTTGCGTTTTTTCAGAGTTAGAAGAGGTAAGCAGAAATAATTAGACTTTCCTAAAAGCCATTTCAAATCCACATTTGTCGTAATTTTCGACAAAAGTTTGATTATCAAATTGAAATATTGGTTTTTCCTTGATTTCTAGACTAGAAATAGACTGAGTTAAAGAAGAATATACCTATGTGCTTAGCTTAGGATTTAGATAGTCTGCATAGTGGCATAATTATGTTCAGCTGTCGCTCTCCTTTTGTTGATCATGCTCGTTTCAGCTGAGCAATGGGATAGGCAAAGTCTAGCTTTACGTTACTTAACAGCCTAGTGTCATAAAAGAACTGATATTATTTTAGAGACTACCATCTTAGTTATAATTCTTGAACAAAGTTAACATAATTTCTCTAAGAGGGTGAGGGAGTCTCAAAATATCTTTATGTTCTGCAATCATAGATGTATAATTTGTGCCTTAAATGTAAAAATAAACCTCAACAACTTTTATTTTTCAAATGCAATTATATGAATTTTTAAATCAAAATTATGAATTCCCTTTAACATCCAATAAAATATATAAAAATAAATTTTTTTACTAATTAATTGAAGATTTACATTATCTTTAAAACATTTCACAAACTTTTCTTCAAACAGTAAAATTATAAAAAATATATTTTGTATTACATCCTTATCACCCAAAAAAAATTTAGAAATGTAAATTTTATTTCTGTAATAACCTTTCTTGACATTAATCAGCAACCACATCGAATATATGATACTTCAGAACATTTTCTATTTTACAAATTAATTTTATTAGGGATGCTTTGATAGCGGCGGCTTCTTTTGAAAGCAAGTATAAAAACAATTAAACTTTAACAAGATCACTTACATAAGCAATAAAAATAAAACCAAACAACAATTAATTAAACAAGAAAAAAATAATATCAGATTAATATTCATTTCAATTAATTTTTTCTTGAAATGATGATAAGACAGCAGAGCTGCCTGCTCATCACCAGTAGCTGCAAAATGATTAAAGCTGTAATAATAAGTGGCGCAATTGCGGAGGAGCCGGATTCTTAACGAGCCAAAGAGTTGACTAAAGATGGAACCGATGAAACGTTTATGTTTAATAAGTTTGAACCGCATAGCAAACTGCATATATATAAACATGTTTACATACATGCGCTTTATACACTTTCATTTCCTTATATCTTTCTTGGCAGAGCCTTTGAGTGTGTATCTTTTTTTTATCTATTGTATAATTAGCGTTTAAATTGAACTTTTGAAATGGAAAATATTTATCATTATTTAAATGTTTAACAAGTCGAAGAAATAGAAAAATTTTCTAATTGTTAAATGACATTTTTTTTATTATTTACAATATTTTCTTTTTCTTTTTTCTCATTCAAATAGAATTAGAAGTATGTTCGTAGTTATTAGAGCTGCACACAGAAAATCTTCTTTTTTTTATAGCTCTTCTAAGAATTTCTGAAACCCTTTCTAGCCAAGAATTGCAAACAATTTGTAATGCGTCAACATCTGTAAAATTGCAATTAAGGCCACTAATTAACTTGGTTATCATAACTGCTAGAATTATTTCTAAAATTGTTAACTACGATAGTATTTTAGAAAGAAAAAAATCATGAAATTATTTTTAATTACATTAAAATATGTGTACAACGTTACTCAGACAAAACCACAACACTCACATACATATTTATTTAGTAGCAATTAAAGCAGTAAATTGTTTAAAATTGTTTACTCACAAACAATTGACCCCAATGACCATAGCTGTTGTAACAATTAAATTTAATTTATGAAGTACAACCGTAATTTATATTTTTGCTAGAATAGTAAGAAAAATTATTTTACTTCTGTTATATATTTTATAAATACAAATTTACACACATCACTAGAATTCAAAATAAAATTTTTATTATTTTCTCTATTTCCTATATAGTTTTTCTTTAAGAGATTACTTTCATTTTCAAGGCTTAGATGTTTATTTATTTATTAACTTGCTTAATTATTTGGCCATAACAATCCACTATTGGGTTCTTGTTTAACACAGTTTTCTACGCCAGTCGCCTTTTACTAAGTGTACGTCTTCCCAAGTCTTGTACTTCATACACGGTTAGTGCTTCTCAACTTAATCACTGTACCGGATGCATGGTCTTTTGATACACCTTTTTCCTCCAATTGTCAGTTTAAATATCTTTTTCAGTACAGCATCGTTATTAATTCTCATGACATAACCCATCCAGCAAAGCCATTACATGTTAATTCGCTGAATGATGTCAATATGGTGTAATGTATGATATAGGTCATACATTGACAACTCATAGAGGATCTCAAATCTTAAGAAAAAGTTTTCGGTGAAACATTATCGATGCTGCTATATTATTCTGTAATAGTTTCCATACTTTTGCATTTTACAAAAGCACAGGTAAAATCTTTTTCGAGGGTTTATTTGATTTTCTTTCGAATGGCAGAATATCTATATTTCTGTTTGCACCAGATATAAGCTGATGACCATTACTCTACTGCATTAAAAACACACAGCTCTGCTAACTTCTATCTATATATCATATATTATTAGATTATTAAAATATATTTAAAAACTAAAGACCTAGTCTAGACAATTATTTAATATCTAAATTGTTCAGATAGAATCAGAATAGAAATGTCTTTGCTTACTAGTATTTGTCCAATAAATCTTTAGACTATTAGAAACCATTCAGGGTATTTTACAAGTATTAGAAGATTACCTACCTTAATCTAGTGTAAATATTAAATATATTTTTCTATGTCATCAAATAAACAATTTCAAATATTCTATGCGTTGAACATAATAGATAGAGCACAATAATAGAGCACTTTCAAAAAATTTAATTAACGAAATGATAACTCTTCGCCATTCAAGCACTTTACCTAACTCACTGTTTTTAATGTGTTTATGTCAAACGTAAATACAAGAAAAAGTACTTCACTTTTAATAAAACAATTTTTATTTTTTATTAATATTTTTTTTCTGTTAATTTATGCATTTATCTGTCAATTAACAATTTTAATATGACAAAAGAGCCAAAAACACTTGATAAACTACCAGCTATAATTATTTCTGAATTTGACACCTTATTATTACCACTTTACATATGTATTACACATTTGCATAAAATAAACCATTGATCTATCCGAAAATCATAAAAAATAAACTCAATCAGGAGGACTCCTACACACGCATTCCTCCGCCCCAACATATATGCTGACTCCAGCTGCAATATATTTCCGCATAAATTTGAAAAAAACATTTTAACAAAAAGCAAATTTAGTACAAAATATTTAAATATAAAACCGATTTTAATTAATATCTATCATCTTCTTTTTGTATCTTTACAGGTTTTGAAATTCGACACCGACAGCGCGCTACTCACAAAAGATACCAAAAAACTTCAAAATAAAAATATAGGAAATCTAAAGTCTTTTTCTACAAAAGACCTCAACTGCAATGCTCGCGTGGGCAAAGTGTAAATTGACACTCTAAGAAAATATAAATATTTCATATTAACTTAGCACGCGCCCATTGATTTTCAAAATAAAATTTATTTTGAATAAATAAAATCAAATAAAGAAAAATAAAATATATGTAAAAAATAAAAAAATCTAGACTTCTAATAAGTTTTTATTTTGACGTGATTTTTATTCTTTTAAGTACAACGCCATACTTAAAAACTCTGCCAAAGCTTGAAATATTTTTTAAATCATTTTTTTGTTATAAAAAAATTTTGAGATAATTTTTGTCATGCCTACGGAATGTGAGCGTTCACTAGCTGAACAACAGCAGGACTCGATTCTAACACAAACACAACAATTCATACAACAAGAACAAAAGGATTTCTGCAGTGACATTATGGATGGCAAGGAATCGTTCAATGGTGAAATGTCAACTTCACAAACATCAACTACATCATCAAATGGTCACAATGGCAATACAAATGGTTTAGGCAAGAAAGTGGTAAGTAACCACATTTTTAAAGATATTGTTAATAGTACACTTAAAAAGACACTATTCAAATAAGCGTTACAAGTCAAGACAAAATTATAATGTTTAGTACTAATATAAGGTCCTAAGATTAAATAAACATTAAAAAAAAAACAACTGGATTCTTCCTTTTAATTAGACGAAAGATGAAAGTTCGCCGCCACAAAAACTATCAAAATAGATTAACAATTTTTGTGGATATTATTACTGCTATGGGATTTGGCACTGCGACTGTCGGGTCTATTGTGCCCCCTTCTGGGCTTAGAGTTAGTCTCTAAGCGCTGTTGCGTCAATAAAAAGTAGTATAGACCCTATTTTGTAGAGTTTTATTGCCTCTTCCGTAAGAGTATACATTCCCGAAAGTCTATTTCATATGTGCATTACCGCAGAGCACATATGCGGTTGACACTTCATTTTCTTTGCAGAATCTACAGTTTGTATTCGTATATGTACTCAGTCATATACTCAGGTGGTATTTTAGTTCACAGTACCCTGTTAGGATTCCTGTAATGATTCTAAGCTTTTCTTTTGATAGGTTCATGCAATCCTAATATCATCTTCTATTGGTATAGGTTTCAGTAAGTGATTTGGATTGTGTTAGTTATATTATATTATCTCAATAATCCTTTTTGTTTTGATTCTCCTTTATTTTTATGGGAGAAAGGAGGGTACAGTATCCTAATCCACAAAAATCGACGTGACTACTCTCTTCCTGGATAGTTTGTCTTTTCTGTGGAAATAGTATAGTTATATAATTATTACAGTTATAATTATAAATTTCAGAATTCTTTTAAACTCGTTAGTATTAGCTTTTAGATTCAACCATTTACTTTATCGAAGTGTATTCATTGTCTGCCATACTATTCCTATATAGTTATAAATGTAATACAAGCAACAATATCAAAATGAAATAATTTTAATTGTTTAGTATACAAGTATACACTCATTCGTAATCTATTTGTTTACATTTTACGCCGCACTTACACAAAAAACTACTTGTGTACTCTCAATGTAAAACAAAAGCAAGGAAAGAAACATGTAACAAAACGGACAACTAATTCTGCCGGTTATTAGAGATATTAGACTTTTTGTCAGATTTGATCATTCGCTCATTCGAAACTCATCGATTTGCATGCTATTCTCACCTCATTCACTAGATTTATATGTATAATACAAACAAAAACTGCCTCTGAGTGGTATAAGAGATAACGTTTTGTGTTACCAAGATGTGATGAAATCATTGAATAGGTATTAACAATTGCTAACTCTCCTCTTATCTCAAAATAAGAAGAAAATCCACCACATCTCTGAAACATTTCGTTTAATTAACTAAAAGTGTTTATTTTATAGTAATTAACCATTAATACTCTGAATATCTATAGAGTCTATATTTACAAAATATCATCCTAAGTATATAATTAAATCACTTTTATTGTATTTAGTATTTCTACAATACTACTTTGTTTTTGATTGAAACATTTGCAATGTACTTCATCTGATATTAAAGCTTTTAACTTAATTTCAAGAAAAGTACACAATTAGTTACTCATATTCGTCATATTCGTTTTTTATTTCATATTTAAAGGAGAATACTTAATTTTTATATTGAGAAAATATAACATTTATATAATCTTTGTCACACCCTTAAAAAATATGGAAATATATGAATAACTTACAAAACACAAGTATTGTTTTTTATACATAAAAACCATTTTTAAATTGTCATTGTTAACAAATATCTGACCTAATATCAAATAACACACATTTACATGTTGTAGAATACATCAATTTGTTCCATTAAAAAATAAAAGATATACATAATTATCATTATAGCATTACACTAGTGTTTTATATAATCTATTAAACCATTACCGAATCACTGAATCATTTAAAACAGTTTATTTATCTTCTTACGTTGTCAGCGAGTTTACAGATATCAATTGATTCAATATAAGTTAATTAATGTTATAATTTTACATGCTATATTCGAGTAATATACAGTAAACATCGGTTTATCTATATATATTAATATTTGAGGTCAATTCGGATTACTAAAACATTTAGATGTCGAGTCAGTAGGCTTTAGAGCAAATATGGTAACAACATGTGATTTGGATAAGTGAATCAGTGGTCAATCCGGACTTCAAGGTATATAATGCATATTTTATATTTTGCAATAATGTCCGCATTTCAAAGAATCCGAATTATCGGAGATTCAGATTAATGGAGATTTACTGTATATGTTATTAAACATTTGACTTCTAGATCCAGTAACACTAAACAAATAATCTATGCCTAGAAAACTAAGTGACTTATTTTTTTAAATTTATTTTTCCTTAAAGTTCATTAGTTTTTAAAGCTGACAAAAGAGTGACTTGTGTCCAGCGCCTCTATAATGTTTGTTATAATAAATGCGTATATCAGAATTTTGTACCTTGTCTAAACCCGTTGGTTAGTTACAATATCTTTAGAATTTCGTGTTAACAACTTTTTATTATCTATTAAAAACTCATTAATAACAATTTATTACTCTTTATTTCTAATTACATTTTCGTTAATTCATTTTACTCATCTGTTAAAGCCACAAAAATTCTAAATGGACTGTTGAAATGTTTTTAAGAACTCTGTAGAAATTTTATTTTATCTCTCGCACTATTGTTAAACATAAAAATAAATATTTATTGAATATCTTTAACATCTACAAAATGTAAAATAATTGTAAAACCATAAAGTTTACACTTAATAGCAGCAACAACCTCAAAACGGCAATAAAAACAAAAACAAAAAAAAAAGAATTTAAAATAAAAAAGAATAAATAATTATTTTAAAAGTCAATAAACCACAGTTAAGTTCGAATACTTATTTAAAGCCAACTTAATAAGTGGCCATAGTCTATAAGGTCCGTCAACCCAAACGGGCCGTCTCAGATACATACTCGTATGTGTATGTTATGAAGGCACAGTGCATTGTGAGCAACATTATCATCATCTTACACTGCACTTCATTATCATCAACTGCCATTGAAGACAAAGTGTGGTGGTTGATTATTAAAATTTTTTTCTATTTGTTTTTCCAACAATGCTGTAAGTCTTTGAATTGCCAATACTAAGTTGACACCAAGTTTTCTTAAGGTTTTTTCCCTTAGACAATATTAACTAGAAATACATAAATGTACCTTTAAAACCTATGAAAGCACGTTCCATTGCAATATTCAGCTGCATGGTTTTTATGCCTTTTTTGCACTTTTTATTTTTATTCTTTACATACTTAATAGGTTTCTTTTTGGCGCTGCAATCACAGACATTCTTCCATCTAAAGGTTTTTTCTTCAGTTCCTTTTTTCTACATTAGTATGAAATCGAGCGTAAGAGGTAGGTAGGTAGGTGTAGGCATTTTAGTCAGCTAGCAAATTCCATGCTGTACTTCCGTCAACAACGGTAGCTATGATGAGTAAAAAATGATGACTTTAAATTAGTAAGTAGCAGAAATATTAAAAAATAAAAATAACAAGCCATACATGCAAAAGTGCAACGGCATAAAATACATCAAACACCTATTGTCGAGTAAGGAACAGTAAAGTACAATTCCAAGGAGCTTAAATCTGCCTACATGTTAAACCTGGTTCGATTCAATTCATATTGAATGGTTTTCGTATTGGGGAGCACATAACACATTTATTACCATAACTTGCAATAACTCACCGATTGAGTATCTAAGTAGATGTCTCTTGTTATTCATGTGCTTAGAAAAACGTTCTTATTTCTAATATATAGTTACGTCGAATATACGAATATTTTTTTTTTGTAAAAATAATAGAAGACATAAATATGTATATAATGCAAAACTTTATTATTAGTATAATATGAAATAGGTATAAGTCGCATAAATATTATTGTCAAGTCAAGAATTTCGCCCACATACACAGTGAACAAAAAAAAATTCCAAATTAATTATTGCTTCGCTAATAAATTGAATTAATTTCAGGCCATAACATCACCAGATCCTACTGCCTATGTGGCTAAAGCTCGTGTTACGCGTCCAACACCGCCACCGCCGTCCTACAATCCGATGCAATTCGTACAAATAAAACCATGTAATTTATATCAAACAGCGCAACAACAGTTAAAGAAAGCCGAAGAAGTAAAAAAGATAAAGGAAATTAAGAAGGAGGAACCAGAAGATTGGCAAAATGTAAGTTGATAACATTGTTACTTGAATTTAGGAAAAGGTTAGGGATGTACTTATGAATATTTTCTATAATACAATACTCCTCAAAACAACTGCAGGAATCTTGCAATTAAATTGGACCATTTCAATTATTTGAAATTAAAATTCAAATTAAGTGGAAAAAAATTAGTTGATATTCCTTTAATAAAGACTTTCAATTAAAAATATATTTTATTCTATAAAATTGAACATCCTATGAAAATTCAATAAATTTTTATATTTTTAAAAGACTTCTATATTAATATCTATTCTATTAAGGTTTCTCTATACAAGACTGAAAATGTGAAAAATAATTGCCATAATTAAGGTTTCTGTATACAAGTCTGAAAAAATGAAAAATACTTGATATATTAAATAACTAAATAAGTTCACATTCCCAAATCACTCGTCCTAAGCAATCAGATATTGCTCACTATCTCTATGGGATTTCACCCCACTAAAGAACGCTAGTGAACACATGTCCCATCATTTGCATTATAAATGATGGGATTTCAAATAAGGGACGTAATATACTGAAATGAAATTTACAAAATATTAAAGCGAACCATTCAAAGTACTAGAAGTAGTAGTTATCCTATTTCTGGCCACATGTTCTGTTTTAATTGAGATCATTACTTTATTCAGTAAGATGTTAACATGGTTATTCTGCCGTATACGATATGAAACAGTATGTACTATATGCAAAAAAAAAATTATTTGCTATATGTAATAATTCTATATATATGCAATAATTTTACATTAGCGGGGCCTATCTCCACCCACAGGTGGACACTAGTTATGAATATAGTAGACCATTGGCAATGGCAAAGTATTATTGTATGTAAGAATGCCCCCGATAAAGAATCAGCACCACTAATAATAACTACCAGCCTTACGTCTTCTCTTTATTAATATTATTACTATTACTATTATTATCATTATTATTATTAGTACTATTGTACTATTATTAGTATAAGTATTAGTATCTTTATACCTTTACCACATTTACCTCTAGTAGTTGAGTAGCCAACTGACGAGGCTATGTCTGGTACTCTATTTATTAATTCATTTATTTATTTATTTATATAATTATTAATATAGTTTTTTATTCATTTGTTGACTTATATATATAAGTTATTTAAAAATTTATTTAGTTATATTTACATTAATTTTAATTTTGTCAGTGTTGTAAGTGGTAGGGCTATGCAAATCTACGGTGCTAATTTCTAGTGGCTAGCCACCACTATTGTCCAGGCATTAACATTGAATAATATACAGAGGGCGTAGCATTGTAATTATGATATGGTTATGAGACCGTGCCAGTGACAAAGCTCCAGAAGCTGGAGTTTTGAGCACAAAGAAAAAAATATACAAGTTGATATTAAAGTTGTTGAGTATAGGTACGATGTATTTTGACTGTTTGCAACCGACTTTTCGAGTATTTATCAAAAAAATGAAAATTGAACATAATTTGGTACTTACAGTGATATACTTTTTTGTTATTTTTTTTAATAATTCAGATTGGTCAACACAAAATTGCATTTATAAATTTTTTTCAGTAAAAGTACTGTAGTATTTATATGAATATATGCTAATGAAATATTACTATTTTAATAGTTTATATCTATACTACTAAGGAAAGCTTAGGGTTTCTACACAACATTTCTAAAAAGAAACAATTTTATTTGCCGGTAGTTATCTCAGTTCATTAAATGATTAGCCCGTATCTGTATCAACAGTTTTTCACAAAGTCGTTTGAAGTCTGCTCCATCGCCTATTTCCCGGCTGTTCCGTGTAAATGCAGCATGTGAAATTTCATCATACATTTATGGTGCTTATGTTCTTTCCACACTTATTTTATATTAAATGATAAGTAGTACAGGATTTCTGAAAGCGTTAATAAACATCACTTCTGGCTTCAGTGCTTATATCTATCATATTGTTTATATTAATGGAAAAGGTAGACAAATTAATTAGGTTTTATCACTTAGCTGACGACAACCAATAACAGGCTGTCTTGACTGGCATTGATACTTAGATTAAGACATTTAAACAATCCAATGGAATCTATATACCATAAATATATAGTAGTAATTTATGCTGGTTTAACCTGCATGTAGAATAATTTCTTATCGGACATACTTAGTAATTTTTACGTTCTGTAATTTATATTTTTTTTAAATTAAACTTAATATAAGTTGTAATTTAACGTGAGTTATGAAGAAAGTGACTATTTTACATAATAGAAACTAGTATAAATGGTAGAGAGGTTTCGAACAGTAGTGAACTAAAACAACAACAATTCTTTTTTATATTATTTTAATTAATTGTATTTTTGGCTGCCATACAGCTGTTTTGAGTATTGCCAAATACTCATCATCAGTAGGCTTGGAATTATTTCTTATATTTAATTATTTGTAAATAATTTTTTAAGTCTGCAAGTACCGAGAGTTGAACTTGTGCCCTGCCAAATTTGAAGCTCAAAGTCAGTGTTCATTAGCCAATTGAACTAAACCCGTACTTGTATGTTCGAACTTAGAGTTTTTTGTTATTTTGCTGTGAAAGTTCATTAACAAATTCATTTGTTGTTTTATATTAAAACGAAATCATAAACCGTCTGCAGAATAATTAAATTAATTAAGTATATTAATATTTTTTATTGTTAAATTTCAATACAATTCTTTTGTAGAAGAATTATTATTATTTAAATTTAATTTAATTTTAATTTAAACTAAATTATTGTATAATCAAAATTTTAAGTTTTTTTTATTTTTTTTATAACTTTAAATGACTTTACAAATATATATTTCTTTGAAAATAAAAAATCGTGATAAAACTTTTGTCAATGCACAAAAATAATTCAAGTAAAATGGGAGCACTCGTAACAAGCGTTGAGATGAAATATCTTTTTAGTAGCAAAAAATTAGTATGCACTTCACATTCACCCTTGCAACAGATGCAATTTAAATTGTCTTCACATTTCAAATACAAAATACAATTTTAAAGTTTTGACCAATTTTCGTGTCTGCTCTTTCTTTTTGGTAAATAAAATAAAATTAAAATTATGTAATTTAGGAAATATTGAGTAAACCAAATGCAAATTTTCTTCCATTTTTACTACAATTGACGAATTTTAATATATATTTTCTCAAATTACTCTAGTTACTTAATCTACGAGATATTATTATAAACCGTGTTTATTTGTTGTAGAAGTTACGACATGTAAGCTCTTTATCTTCCGATTAAATATGCAACTCAAGTGGCAGTTATATTTGCATATTATCACGTCAAGCGAATAATAGTTATTTTTTGTTTAATTTACTGTAAAAAAATTTTTAACAAAAACGATATTAAACAAATCGATTTTGAAGACTATTAATAAAAATAAACTCAGATTTATGACAACTTAAACATATTTAAAACTAATTTAAATATTTTGTTAGCCACTTTTTGTTCATTACAAAAAAAAAAAATAACAATTTACAAAATAATCTCCACATTATTTAATTAATTATTATTCACTTCAATATCAGATACATGTTATGTGGGAAAGGAAGGAAGTCAGTCGTTTTATTGATGACAATATTGACATCAACCAACTAAATTAACTTTTATGTTACGTTTAATTTGCATTACATTTGCGCACGTAGATATTGTACAATATCTGTGACTCTGTAATGACTGGAGAAAGTGTCTGAATAGGTGAGGTGTGCACTATATGTATCCGTACATGAATGAGTATTAGCTGTAGAGTTTAGTAATTTTGCATATTAGTTATGCCATTATTTTTATTATGTGGAAATTATTTTTTTACGATTTGCAATTAATTTTTTTTTTATAAACCTTTTTTTAATATTTTTTAAATTTTTTATGAACAGAATATATAGACTTTTTTTCATACTTAGTATTGAAATTTAGCGCATACTTAAAAACAATAGTATCTATTTTAATGAAGGAGTAGCTTTCTAATAAATCTTACATTAAGTAAAAATTAATATGGCAACGGACACTGGTACAAAACGTACAAGTTTTTACATTGGAAAAGTCAATGAATTTTCATTATTCGGAGCAGTGTTAGTAGAAATTCAAATGAAAATTTTGCTTGAATATTTTAAATAATTGAATAAATGTGTTTCGTAGAATTCTTTGAATGATATCGATTTTACTTGCTCAAACATTATGGTGTTCGAGTAGGTCGAGTATACACCAATTCAAACATTTGAATAAAAATGATCAAATTCAATTACGAAAAGTATTTCAAGATTATTGTCGAATATTGCAAGTAAACTCGAGTTAGATAAACAAATTATCTGCTCAATGTTCACCCTGAGTAAACTCTATTTCGAACATTTGGATTGAACATATCAAATGATGATAGAAAATATTTGAAATATTCTTTGATATTCGACTTACTCAAACTGCTCAGCTGCTAAGTATTTAATTTGATTTTCGTTTTATTTTCATATGTCAAATATATATGTGTTTCTATATTTTGTAAATCCATATAACAATAAATACTCGATCAAATTTGTAGATCAAGCGAAAAGTAGTATTAGTTTGAAAATCATAATGACTTTATGTATTACTAACGTCTGGTTTACAAAGACAGTTTCTTTTTTTCAATTTCATCTCCAAAAAATAAAGCACCGTAAATTTATTTAATTAAAAACTACAATTCATTATAATTTAATATTTATTTATCATCTTATTTAACTAAAATCAACAATACTACATGTCTCCGAGATTTATACATATCTTCTTCAGTTTTGTACATTAAAAACAAGAAACACACATCTACTGCGCCTTATACCACTGACTACCGCCGCAAACCCTTTGCTTGTTGGAACCTTATTTTCCATCGTTACAATAAAACTAACAAAACCACTGGATGTTAATTCAGTAAACAATTTCAACGGTTATATATCAAACTTTCATGGAAAAGCTCACATGGCTAATCATTTATTCGGTTGCAGTAGTTATCATCAACATACTTTATATGTTCATCAATGTTAATTATTTTTGAAAGATTATAGATTTCGTCACTTTGCTAGCAACTATGGAAAAGCCGATCTTAAATAATGGATAGTTATATTACATATATATGTATTTATACAATAAAAATAAATATGGTGTTATTATTGTACTCTCATTGGACTTGGTGTGTCGAGCTAAAGGGGATTTTAATTCGTATTGAAGACTAAAATATAATTTTTTAAAAAAAATTCGTTTTGATTACTTATGCCGAGTATTTATCAATTCATCTAGTAATTAATATCGTTGCACTATCTTTTCGAATAACAACTTTTATGGGTGTAATTTTATTGGTCAATAATTGGATGACGCCAATACATAGAAATTTTTAAAGCTCTAAATTTTTATAAAAAAAATTATTTACTAAAGAGAAATTGAAGTATATAAATTTGGAAAAATTGGAAACTAAATTTACTTGATGAAAAAGGTATTGGTTCAGATTAATATTAGATCTTATCTTTGCAATAGGTTTCCAGAATCGTTCTGTATCGTTCGTCTTCGGTACAGCTATATAGTTATATAGTTTATATATATATAATTATAGATTTTTTTTACATTATTTGAAAACTGTTAGCATCTACTTTATAACAATACAAATGTTGTTCTGTTGCTATTGTGATATTTTGTGTTTCAAGAAGTCTATTTCATTCTCCTTCGCTGGAAACGATAAAACTGTGGTAGGAAAAGCTCTGGGATACACAATCGAACGCTAATTAAAACAAGACTTACCTAAAATAAGTTAATACTTTAAACAAATTTTTATGATGAATGTCATAAGATGAATATTGATCCCTTCAATGACATGATATAGCTTAAGCATATAAGTTTATGAAGTCTGTAGATTTGTTTTTTTTTTTATTATCATATTTTTATTTGTTATTATAAACTGAATTGAGTATGTTATAGACCTATTTTAGACTAAGCTATAAATTCGGTAAATTAAAATTTTTAGGTATTATTTCATTCAATATGAGTATAGCGTTTTTTAATATTGGAAAGGTGTGCGAAATTTATTTTCACTGCAATCTCGATATTTTTTTAGACATTACTGCCGTACGTGATGCACTTCTCTACTTCTCTTTATTAAAAGTTATAAATTTCTTTTTAATTGTGTATTGTCAACTTTATCAATAAAATTTTACCTTTTCTTTAATTTATATATATTCATTATGACATTTTTTATTTCAATTCAATATAAATAATAATATTACTGTCGATACCCTTCATTATAAAATTATTTTCTCAATTGTACTTTAATGTATTTTAATTTTTTTTTATATAAAACTATGAAACTGGTTATTCATTTTATATTTTTTTTGTTCTTTTATAGAATCTTGACAATTGGAAGTCATCACGTAGAAAACGTGTTGAACATATCATCGATCGAGTTGTGGAAGTAAAGAAACTCGAATTAGAAGAACATGATCGAACTCGACGAAAATCGAAAACGTTTTCAGAAATGATTGAAGAAAGGTATTATTTATACTATATATAAATGTATATATAAAAACTATGTTACTGATTACCCCTTATATTCATTTTGTTACAGAAGTGACCGACCTGGCCGCACACGTGCCAAATTAACATCTCTAGCTGTTTACAATGAGGATGAATCAAATGATTTCAGCGATTTGGGCATAGGAACAAGTAGTGCTAGTGGTAAAAGTAGCCTGTCTGAAGACTACGATAATAATAGCGTTATGGTAAGTTTTACCAAAACATTTTTAATAAGTGGAAAATAAAATATTTAATACAAAAAATAAATTGTATAGAGTGAAAGAATCTGTTTGTTCGTTTAAAATTAAATGCTTCACTTTAAATATTATTTGTTGCTATTCTTTCTATTTTTTTCTTAAGTTGAAGACAAAGAAATTTGGGTCATTGCAAATATTTTTCATAATAGTAATTATTAAATATTGAGTAAACTAAATAAATAGTATCGGAGTCAGACAGTCAGTCAGTCGGTCAATATATTTAAACTTTAGAAAAAATACACATCAAAATAAAATCATTAACACCGATTTCTATTCTATATTGTTAAACATATATGCGAATTCTTTTCTCTCCTGCTCACTTCTCACTTTTCACTCCTAAAAGGTTTTATTACATACAATGTTGTTGTTATTGTTGCTAAAGTGATAACAATAGTAAACGTTTTTAGTTAACCTTAACAATAGATCGGTCAGAGAATTGCCTGAAACGGTTAGATGTGTAGAATGTGTGAAAGAAGTAAGCGTTTCAAAGCAAATCTTTTGATTGTTTTTTTTTTTGTAAATTTTTTGCTAAAATGAACAGTGAAAGCAACCGCCAAGCAAAAGCGGTGAGGTTATAAGGTTGAAATGCAGACAATGAAGACGTCAAAACTTTTAAAAACAATTATTACAATTAGTTTTATGCTAAATTTATATTTATTTTTATTTTTTATTTTCTTTTCAATCTCTTTGTTGAAAATTTAAATTTGTTTTTTTGGTTCATTTAAATGTTATAATTAAAGAAATATTACTTTACTGTTTTTTACTATGTAATTTTTATTTTTAAAAATAATTAAAAGAATAAAAAAAAATACTGAGATAAACATACTTATTTTCGTATATTTGTGATCTTATTGTGGTGAACGAAAATTTTTAATTTAAATATTTACTTAGTGAAGTATGTGTATCCTGAAACTAATCGAAAATGATTAAGTCGTTCCGTTGATTTGTTTACAGAGTTGACTTTCCCGAAAATGACAGCAGTATGTTATTTATGGGTATGAACATCAGGTATTGTTTACTTTCTACTATAAGAGTGGAAGCACCAACATAATATACTTTTAAATATAAAAATTTAATGTACTCCAATGCAACGAACATCCAATTTAAAGATTCTTTAATTCAACAAACGATACTCAAAAACTGTGATCGACTATTTTATATAACGAATGCATAATACGTTATATAAAATTCCGATCTAACACTAGTTTAATCTATATTCATTTATATTCAAACATCTTTATGTGTTTAATAACTTATATATCGGGTACATATAATTAGATATATTTGTTTCTAATTTAAATAAAGTTGTATTAACTCAAATTATATTTATATTATTAATTAAATTTAAAGGATTAAAGGATCCCTCTTGTACAATTTTGAATATACTTGAACTAGCTATTTTAGTCTGAAATTAAATTTAATATGGAAAAGAATATTATTTTTTTACGTTATAAAAATGCGATTATAAATACAATATTATTGTTATTAGCGCTTTGCTAATTTATATACAAAAATAAAATTAATACAAATAAGGTATTTTTTATTATAATAATATATGCTTTAGCGCTAAGGGTCATTAATTTCAAATCAAATATTCCATATTGCAAATTTTTAAGATCAATTTTTATAAATGTTTTATGAAATAAGATTTTGTTTTGTAAAAAAAAAATTTTTTTTTTGGAAAAACAAAAAAACCCTAATATGCTGGTAAATCGACACTATTTTACAATATGTTTGAAATGACAAAAATAATTTTATTATAAAAAAAAATTGAAAAAACAAAGCTTACATGTACGCATTGACCAATGGTCCATTAATATTTGTCATCCCGCTAATAATTTTTGTAGTGTATATAACTACAGTTAGAGGCTCTGTCACTGTTTTCGATTTCAATTCTATCCTCTACTACAAAAAATTTATATATAAAGGTAAATAAATTCATATTTCAGATATAGTAAAATGAATATTCAAATTTCCAATAAATCAATGAAAATGAAATATGCACTTATTTCTTTACCATCTATATATATACGTATAAACATATAAATATATATTAATTGTTTTAAACTATATGTTTTGTCCACAGTTATGTCTCTAACTGGATTTTCAATAATAATAGTCGCCATTGGTGTGAAACACACTATATTATATTTTCAACAGGAAAGGTTTGTCTGAGAAAGAAAGAAAAGAAAAAGAAGGCTATGTTTCAAGACTTATCAAATTTTAAGTTCATTCTTTATGACTCTTTGGTTTTAACCTGGGCCAAAAAGAAAACACAAAGTCAGGTTAGGGTTGATTAAGTTCTCTGTTGTTTATCGAATTAGCTCAGAAAAATAAGAATATAAATTAATATATAATAAGAAAAAAGTAAAATAGAATCTCTTGTATATTTGTATATATATATATATATACTGTATTGCGTGAAAATGTAAGTAATATTAAGACAAACTTTTAGAATTGTACGTAGTGTTATTCTAAAATAATTCATTTCAATCTGGTACATTATTGTACAATATACATATAAGCCATGCACACATATTGTTCGTAAATAGTTGAGTATATTTTAGTAATTTTGTCTTTACCTTTAATTTACACAATTATTGCTAATTTTGTTTTATATAAAAAAAGAAACAATCAATTTAAACCTACAGTCAATCTGCCAGTCTTTAATTGTTAGGTCTAATGCTTACTAATTGAATTCAATTGATTTAAAGCAGTTTTTTGCTATTACTGACGCCTTATTGTAATATTATCGCGTCAATTTGTAAAACAATAAAATATAGTGAACTAATACACATAGTCGTAGATAAAAACAAAGGGGTTTTCAACAAAGGTTGAAACCTACATTGTGAATTAGCGCCTAGCTGGTAAAGTCAAATCCTAATTTCTTTTATTATAAAACACAAGATCCCACTCAGTGGTGTTATAGAAATTTTGAAACTTATTATTTTTTTTTGGATTATTTATATTTAGTACACTTTGTACTAAACAGTTTTTTATTTAGTTTCTTCATTACAATTCTTCCACCTAAATTTCATTGCTTCGTAGTTCTTGTTTCAATTGTTTCATTTGTATTGGCGTCTAGACCTCCAATCGGAGTGCCGTAATCATCATGGACGCATATTCATCTTAGTGGTTATAAATCCATACCCTTAGTACATCGCCTTTAGCAATGTTCGGACAACAGTGATATTTGCAACTCTTGCATATATGAGAACTACTGAATTTTGGAAATTAACTTTCCTAGATTATTTTATAGAAATATTTATATGAACATACATCAACATATATATACTAATAGTTGAACCTTGAGTTTAGTTCAAATAAAATCTATTACAGCTATTGGCTGTTATTGGCTTATATAAGACTATACAATAAGACTTAACATTTCTCTTTTCTAGATTTTCGTTCATACGGATATCACAGACATTTGCAATTGATGTAACCAGATACGATGAATTAAGAACACTGTTTCGATTTCTGTATAGAATAGTTTATAAGTCCGCCACTGATTATTAGGGAAAACTTTACCGACCTTATTAATTTAAATTTGAAGTTATTAGTCTTATGGTAGATTTGATAACGGGTCACTATATATCAAGATATAATGGTAAAAGATTGAATTTGACGATAATAACCCTTACCGTTGCTGTGAGTGTAATATGAAATTTGTTACACATTTGCTTTATAGCTATTAAGCGCATGTGCAACGTTAGTTAAACATGCTAGGAAACTACATTCGTATGGATCTTGATCAACAGGAAGACCGCTTGTAAGGTTTCATTGAAGTTTCTAAGTGGTATAAAACCTTTCAAAATAGAAATGGTACTGCAATCGCTCAACTATATCTTTAGAACTCCCAGTAGTTGAACGGACTTCTTGAACTTCATTATTTTAAAAACTGAAAAATAATAATTTTCCTTACTAATACTATCAGCTTACTACATATATTATTATTTTAACTCAACTGTTTTTACATACATATGTAAAGCCTCCTAGACAGCTTCAAAGAATTTTAGGTGCATCATAATACTAAAAAGTTTGGGAAACACTGATTAAGAGAGTTTAGTAGCATCTCGTATTCAATTTAAAAACCTGAAAAATCAGTCTTTTTCAATTAACTATAAAACAACTTATTAATATTACTAACATCAGTGCAGGTTACCAACGTAGCAGTCATAAAAGTTTTTACGAGTATAAATTAAAATATTTTTAAAAAATTTTTAAATCACTAATGACTCAAAACTGAGAGAATCTTATCTAATACATTGAATCACATTTAAAATCCCCCACTACGTCTCTGTTAATGCATATTCTCATACAAATTACTAGAAGAATGAAATTTCAAAACAACAATCAATAGTGTTTACGGTATTTAATAAAAATATAATAAAACTTAAATAAAAATTTAATAAAAATATATAAAAATGAATTGCGTGAAATCAATTACGCCTTGGCTACGCTTCAATTAATTCTTTTCATATGTGCTCATAGTAGTGCTCATAGTAGATACGTTCGCATCTATACTTTTTACATTTTATTTAAATTTATTTTACATTAAACGCAAACCAACTCCATCTAAATAATCACGAAAATGTTATTAAAACATTTGTTTTGATTGATCTCTTGATGGTCTCTTGCCCGTGCCCCAGTGACAACAATGACAACTTGAAAACAAAAGGGCGATACGCCAAATTAGCTGGTGATGCCATCACGCTTATTTTTAGAAGATTATTTACCATACATATAGATACATTTATATGTAGATGTATAGATGGTTTTATTAAACAAAAAAAAAACAAAAAATTTAATATTATTCTAATCGGACAGCACAACTGGACTGGGCTTGGAATCTGCAATTAGCTTAAGAATGAATTCATTGTTTGCTTTATTTAAAATAAAATGCTAAAATAAACGTGGGTAGTATGAAGAGTTTATTCATAATTTTTAAATATAGTGGCAGAAATTATAATCTTAGCAATATATTAAAAATAATTGTTTTTACAATTAAAATTGTATAGTTTATTAAAGTTTTTTTTATCAAACCTCTCAACATCTTAAATGCAAAACTCACATTACCTGTATATTTATTTTTGCTCTTTTCAAGACTTCAAGTCTTCTACTACATCCCCCGTATATTAAAATGATTAGTAATACTTCTCTAAATAAAAGCTAGCAGTATTTTTAGTATCAAATCTTCGTTTGTGCTGTTTTGTCTTAATTTTTGTTAAAACTTAGTCGATTATATTGAAATTCAAGCAATTTATATAAGTAAAAAAATATATATTTTCTTACGAGAATACATATTAATGTTTATTGACATATTTTGAAACGCAAATAAAAACAATACTTTGTACTCGTATAATACATATTCACAACAGTATTTCTAATTATAAATTTGTTATTTTCCATAAATATCAGTTTCAGTTAATTTAATTGTGATTTTCGTTTTTCATTTGCAGAGTGACAACGCCGAACTAGATAAGGCCATATTTGAAAATAATCACAAATTAAACAGCACAACACGTGAATACATTTCTTCACCTGGTTACGATACCTCATCCAGCACAGCACCAGCAAGTTCACCAGATCCATGTGAGTACACCTATGAAGGTGCAATACAAGATTACAAACAACGTGTCTCACGCGCCATATCCGGCACTGGTGTAAATTATAAGCTCAACAGTAATAACATCACAAAAGGAATATCATCTGCATCCAAGGAATCAACACCCGAGCGCGGTAATAACGGTTTACCAGAAACCTATCCCACGAGACGTGGTAGTAAAATTGAAGATCGTCTTATAGGTTTTGAGGTAACATCGCCAAGTGATAGCCAAGAAGGCGTTGAGAAGCAAAAAGTAGACTTACCAAAAATTGACATTTCGAAACGTAAAGAAATTTTCGAAAACCAACAAAATACAAATACAGAACCAAAGTTACTGGCTAATGCAGTCGGTGTACCCAAGGTAACCTTACGTGATCGTTTTAAAGTTGAATCGAACGAAAGTGTAAACAACGACATTCAAGGGCAGGTGAAGAAAGAAGTTAAACGCATGTCAGGTGATATAACGAGCATAAGAGATCGTCTACAAAGCTTAGAACAGCAACAGAATATAGTCAATTCAACAAATGGTGCCACCAAAAACGTTGCATCGAAATTAGTTGATATACCAGTGCCACCATTGAAGGAACGTTTATCTAGTTTGCAAAATGCTGTTACCAAAGAAGAGCTCAAAAAACCACCAGTAGCACTTGTCGATGCTAGGCAACTTGAAATTATGAAAAACGAAGAAGAAACAGCTAAACAACGCATGAAGCAATTAGAGATATCTAACTGCCTAACTACTATCACAGATGCTATGTCAACCAAAATAGTTGAGTGCCCAACTATATCAATACAGAGTGATGTGGAAGTAGATCGCGATGATAGCGGCATACATACATCGGATGATATTGATGGTGAAGAGCGTATTGCCGAGCAACTGAAACGTGAACAGGAACAACAATTGAATGACGCTATAGCTGCACTAGCACTGGAAGAAAAACAACTTGAGGAGGCAGCAAATGCTGTAAATCAAATTGAGGCAGAATTTGCTGAGCTTACATCAAATCCTTCTCCGTTGCCTTCATTGGGTTCAGTAACAAACGAGCAACCATGTGAAATGGAATTTAGTGTAAGTTCTACTAACAATTTACTTAATAATACTTTTAATAAAAATCGTAGTAATAGTAGTGAAAGTAGTAATCTGTTTGGTAAAGAAGAAGCTAAATGTATATCAAGTGATAATGTAGTTAAAACTGATGAGGTGTTGGTTAATTTAAATGTTCCAAATAATGCTTCTAATTTATGTAGAAAACCTTCTAATGAAATGGTGCATGCACGTAATCTCTTAAAAATGTTTAAAGAAACGTTTCAAAATGATATTGAGTTAGATGAAGATGATGAAAATGTGGCCAATGTCACTAATATTGAAATAAAACCAAAAGTTTTCAACCAAACCAGAGATATAACATCTATAAATACTTCACCTCATTTAGCTCTCGAAACTCAAAATAATCCTTTAAACTTAAATATAAAAATGTCAGCCCCTCAGCAAGGAAGAGCTTCACCATTGTCGTTCACAAATCAGACACCAACTCCACCAAAAAGCCCTTTAAATTCACCAATTTCAACACAAATATTTCAAACAAGCAGAGTTACTCCTCAGACACCACCTTCACCTACATTACCCATAAAATCTCCAGGCACTCCTACCATGATACCACGTTCGATAAATCCTACTGGTAAGCCTCCTATGTCACCAAAATCTGCACGTCGTCACGTAGCGAAGCTACCACCACAGAGTCCCCTCCAAAGTCCCACTCCCATTCGGAAACCAGAAAGTCAGTTTAGTATTAATGGGCGAGTTGAAATTTTTAATTCTAAGAATATGTCGAATATACCAAAACCACCAACACCGACCATGACTACAAAGAAAACACATTTGTCCTATTTACCAACACCAACAGCAACAGCTGTAGTAACACCACATGGTAAACAAGATGCAGCAAACGCCAATAATAATATCAAATTACTAACTGAGCAAGAGCCACAGCAAGTACAGCAACAACATACACCTTCAACAACCGCATCGTCAAGATTTACCGAACCGCTGTCGGTATCCAATACGGAATCAATGCCAGTGAACACAGTCAATGAACCCCACGAAATACGATCACCTAATGCTGCTGCTGCTGTGTATATTGCAACAACCACTGTAGTAAATCAACAAACAATAATACCACAGCAGCAGCAACAGCAACATCAGCAACAAACACAGCCTGAAGTTGTCATTTGCGCTCCACCAGTTACAATTATTAACCCAGATGAATTGCCGAAACCCAATACAGTTAAGGCACTTTCTAACTGTTTCTTGCGTGAAAATGAACAAAATAAAAAGAAGCCACCAACGCCTGCGCCAAAACCATTACCTCGCAGTCGTATACCACAAACCCCTCCACAATCACCAACGCCAGCGAAGAGAAATTTCACAGATAACATTATGATGCAGGAAGAAAAATTTACCACTGCTGCTACCACAGCCCAGTTAACACCACTTGAAATTGAGGATGATGCAATGAGAAAACTTTCAATGATATCTAATGTTTCTATTAATTCTCGTGACTCTTTGGGACAACCTGGTGGACCTTTCGAAACTATGGCGGTTATACATAGTCCGCCAAAAGAGAAGCATACAAATATTGAACAAAAAGAAACTCAAATCAAGCAGCTCAAGCTATCAATTCAACGAAGTAATGATGATCCTCTAAAGCCAAATGATATACTGTCGCCTAAAGTAGTTACACCATCAGAAGTGCCACCACTTATAGTATGTGTCCCAAATGAGTCAAGTTTATTTAAATTGGCGTCATCAGCACCAACTTCCCCTGTTAGCCCAACAACACCTACCTCTGCTCATAAAACAAAAATCAATAATAAACCTTGCGATGATGATATAGCATTTTGCTCTAGTTTTCTTTCCAGCTTAACTCCTTCAAAGTCAACAAAATCTAAACAAGTGGAACCTTTGCAACGTCAACAAACTATGGAAGAAGTTGTTTGCAAAAAAGTCGATGTACACAAATTACCACCAGACACTAATGTAATCTGCACATCTTACTGTGAAGTGGATAACGAACAAATCAAGATGTGTGATGGGACTATTATACAGAATTCCGAACTAAACGAGCTTCCACCAATACCCACTAAATCTAAACCTAAAGTGACACCAAATCCCTGTGATGAAGCAATAGCATTTTGCTCTAATTTTCTATCTAGTTTAACACCTTCAAACACACAAAAATCTAAACCAGTAGATCCACTGCAACGTCAACAAACTATGGAGGATGTAATATGCGAAAAGGTTGATGTAAATAAGTTGCCACCGCATAGTAATTTACCATGTACGTCTTATACTGAGGTGGATAATGAAGAAATTAAACGTTGTGACGGCTTAAATAATCTAAGTGCTGCTCCGAAAAATTCTACACCAACTCAAAGTACTGCCAAACTTAATTCTCCTATAATGGCTGCACGGGCTGCACACTCCAAGGCACTGATTGAAACTTGTGAAAAAATTATAGCAGAAGAACGTGAAGCCAGTAATCAAATGAAATCGTCTTTAGTGCCGACACCTAAAAGTACACCTATTTTACAGCGTAAATCAAAAATACCTAAACCAATTTCCTGCTGTACGGGTTCAGATTCCATGAATAAGGCGGATTATGAACCTGTACCTCAAGTTAGTGACGAAAATAGCAGTGATATCACAGACAATATTACAACTAAACCAAAGGATGATGAAGTTTTGATAGCACGTTTACATGTAGTAGAAACACAAATTAAAGTGACCACTACGACACCGCCACCTTCACCAAAAGTTAATCTTAAAACACATCCAAATAATGCAAAGAAAACTAAAAATATTTTTGACTTTTTGAAAAGAAATTTTGGTCACCATGAAGAGGATAGTAACACCACTGCAGTGGTCTCAAGTGACCAAAAACATAATGTCAATGTGGTGAAATTTGATGAAATCAGAAAAGTGGAAAACTCCAAATTTTATTTACCAACTGAAGATGTAGTTGAGCCATTACCACCACTACCAACAACAGCAGCACCAGCTCCTGTCAATATAGAAATTACAAAAAAAATTACAACTGATGAAATTGTTGAAGAATCGAATTCTGAAAACACGTTTAGTCAAGAAATCAATGATTTACTTGATGATGAATTAAATAAGTTGAGCTTAGAGGGCGAGTCTGTGGTGAATAGTGAATTAATTAAAAATTAAAATCATTTTATACGCAAATGTTAGTTTATTTTTTAATCATGAAACAATGCCTATCTTTGTTTTTGTTACTTAAATAATCACAATAATTTTATGCTAAACGCATTAAGGGCTGTTATAAAACAAAAAACTAAGTATAATTGATCTGTCACAAGTTCTACTTGGTGCCATGATGTAGTGTTTAATTTTTTTGAATTATTCATTCATATCTTTAAATAAAGTATTTAATCAAAAAATATCTCAATTATTGAATCTCTATCTTCATCACGCCTAAAAAAGCAAAAGAAGAAAAAATAGCTCGCGATTTCTATGGTCGCAATATATATTTTTATATATCAAATTTTTGCTCTTTTTATAATGCGTAGATTATAAAAACTACATACATATATATTTTTTTTATTCTAACATTTAAATTAGTTATAAACTGATTTGTTCTAAACTTCACCTTCTTTGTTATTCAAATCGTTTTTAACTATTTCAATAAAATTCTTTCAATAGTTCAGTTTTACAAATGTCTTCAAATTAACATAACAAGTGAATGGCTTATAAAGTTCAATACATTTAGCTTTAATTGTACTATTATTTGCTTTAGTCTGAAATATTAAATACTACATATATACAGATATACAAACCTTTTGTATCTACAAGTTCTTAATTATGCAAATATTTATAACTACAAGAGACTAAGGCAGCAAAAATGTTAATATATGTAATAAACTACGAAACAAAATTGACTTAATTGAACTCAACGAATTTTTATTGAAAATTAAATATACAAATATACATATATATAAAAATCAATAATAATTTAATACCTAATAAAATGTAAATTATATATAATACATATAATATAATACTCATTGTGCCTTTGTGGTGAATATATGAAATCATAATATATATATTTTGTAAATTCGTTATGTTTTAAAAAAAAAGTTTAACGTTTTGTATTAAAGCAAACATTTTAAAAACTTTTTTTTACACTTTTAATACCTATTGTGCAGCTATGAAATTATAAAAAAAAATAAATGCTTTTCTTTTTCTACTTCTACATAAAACTATTCAAGTATTTTTACTTTTTGTCTTCAAACATTCATTGTTTATTTTCATTTTCACTTTTTTTTAATTTTCAACACGCCATTCACATTCATACATTTTACATTCAGAACTCACCACATTAGATAAGCCATGTTAGTTTGTTCTTTAGCATTCAACGGAAAAATGAGCTGCTGTAAAATAAGTCATTTATACAGCGGTTAATTTTGTGTATTAGAGGTATTGAATATTTAAAAGCATTGCCATACTTAAATCAAAGTTACATTTAGAACAGACATTAGTAAATATTACAATATATGTTCTTGGATGTGTGGAAAGTGGCAAATCAAGTTAAAAGCACACATGGAGATTTTATTTCGTAAAATACATTTTTGATGAATGTTCGCTCATACATGATTACGGATATTATATATTACATTTATATATACGATATGAGCTAATACATATTACTTTTATATAAAATATAGGCATTAAACAAAAATAAAAAATTTTGTTTCTATTTATTTATTTATGATTTTTTATTATAGACTAAAGTATAAGGTCTTGTATTTTAGGTATAATTTGTGATTTATAATTTTTTTATTATATTTGAACACAATTTATATATGTATATATGAGTATATAATAAAAACTATTTTATGTTTAAGTTATTGCAAACTATTTATTGAATTATATTAGATAGACATATATTTATGTATGTATTTAATGTTTTATAAATTTTTATAATTATTTTGGTTAAACATAAATTTTTGTTTCTTTTTAATTTTATTAATTTGTGGGAATAATTTGAT